GCTTTGTCTCTACTATTGACTTTTGTCAACTACTACCAGTTTGTCTCCCTACTTCCAAAACATACCAGTTTTGGAGTACCAGATCTTAGTAACCTCACTTAACCAGTTTTCAAATCACTTGTCTGTTGGCATGAACAAGGTTTATCTCACACATAGCACAGAGAGCTCCACCTACAATTAAGCTGTATGAAAACAGTACCCCTAAAGTTTTACATCATTTGTTAATTCAAATACATGGGGTTTTTCTCCTCCTAATTTAGTTTTGTCTGCTGTCAAAAAGATGATTTGTGCAGAGATCTGGTGAAATGAACAGGGCTTGATACCCTTGAATCTTCTCTTACAACTGACCTAATCCCAGTGGAAGGATAACTATAGTACTAAAGCAGCTGTTAAGAGAATGTTTTTAATTTTGAGGGATATTTCATGATATTCATACTTCTTGCTGTTTTCTGGTTGCATGTTTAGTGAGGAGACCAAGCTCCAAAACGTGCTATACTAACTGTATTCATTTACTTTTAGGAGGAACTTGCAGACAATATCTCACAGCTTATCCATGTGATTCAGAATACAGAGGCTCGTAAGTACTATTTCATTGTCTAACGCTTTGTAAGGTACTTTCACCTTTGGCGATTTTGAGACCGCTGTCACAGTGCCAGAAGAGAGACAGCTAGATAGGGGTGCTGCTTTGGGTTTTCTTCCTTGCTTTTTGTCCAACTGGTGTGTGTGATTGCATTAAGGGAAGCATGAGATGCGGTTTGTTTCTGGTTGTTGCAGGGGAAGAGTTTTAACTCCAGTGTGATAAAGGTGAGACTTTGCAGGGTGGTTAGCAAAGCAAACTTGTCCCCTTACTTTGCCATTCTGCAGAGACTTACTTGTTCTGTGTATTTCCTACTCAAAACCAACCTTGTTTCATGAGCTGTTAAGCACCTAGCATTCAAAATGCACTTGAAACAGAGTGCTTAGTCAATGCCGGAACTTGCCTGGGTAGAAATGAGTGCAGAATGGATATTTTGCTCTAACTTGCGTGTATATAACACAAAATAGATACAAAGCTGTCCCTGTAATCACACTTGTGTTTAAAAGTAGCTGTGTGCGTTTTCTTGTGATGTTCTGAAGTTTAATTGACTTGTCCTTATACCCGTCTCAAGCATGTCTTCCCATAGCTCTATCCCTGTCACTAGGCAAATCCCTAGGGAAATGCATCCTTTTCTCACATTGAAGTGATTTCTTGAGATTCTTTTAGGTTAGCAAAATAAACTGTTGTGCCAGACACGCAGATATTTCTTCTTACTCTCTTACAGGAAACCTGTTCATTCAGACATTTTGGCAAACTATGAACCGTGAATGGAATGGGATAGACAATCTACGTCTTGATAAGTACTACATGGTAATTCTAACTCTTTTGTAGATCTTTTCTGCAAGAAAAGCTGTGGTGGTGGTGTGCTGGAAGGCAGCTTTGTCTACACATGCATTTATGTGTATTGTAAGAGAAGACAAGTGACTATCTTCTTGACACATTGCAAGAGATACTTGTTTTAAAGCCTTTCACTCACCACTGCAAATCTAAAAGCCATTACAGTTTATGTCATGCCACAAGTGCTTTCTTGTTTGCCTTCTTTTATAACATAGTGATGTTTCTCATTGATTTCTATACAGAATATAAATACCGTCTCAGAGGACACTGCATCAATGTCAGTTATTTAGATCAGACTGTTTAAAGACTTCTTTATGACTCTGTGTAAAGTAGTTGTCACTAGAACCCCAACTTCCCACCACTAAAGTATTCACTGTAGTACATTCAGTTAACTTCTTTCTGTAGGAAACACTATATTAAAACAAACAGTAAAATCAATGAGAGAAGAATCTTAGAAGACCTACCTTTGTAAAAAACAAAATCTCATTAATCTTCTTTGAAAGAAGTTAATTGCAGGCACATTCACTGCTGTTTTTTGTTTCTCAATGTTAGCAGAAACCAGGTATTTCAGTAAGTGAAATGTTTTGAGCAGTTTAATGTAACTATTTTACATATATCTGTCTCTTAGTGCAAGTTTCAAGTAAATTAAATTATTATTGTTATAATCTGTCCTGTATTGTTGTCTCCAGTTTAAGCTGTGTTTTTTTAGATTTGGCAGCACTTACTGAAGACATCAGGGTGATGGAGCAAGAGAAGGCTGCATAGTAGAAACGGTCATGGATTTTTCTGAGCTTAGGATATGAAAATGGTTTATTGTCTTTTGAGCTTCACAGCATCCTTCTGTTGCTTGACATGATAGACAAGTCTGTCAGAATGTCCATATGACAAAGCTTTCCACCTTGTTGTGCTATGAAGTTTACTAAGAAGTCTATTCATCTTACAGTCACAGTAACTCCTTTATCTGTTTTCACGAACAACGTGTATAACAAATTTTGTACTTTGCAGCTAATGCGTATGATTTTGAGGCAATCCTTTGAAGTGCTGAAAAGAAATGAATGGGATGAAAGGTAAGCAGATTTCTGAATGTAATTGCATCATAAAGTAGTTGCCCAATTTACCTTTATCAAATATATTTTCATTTAATAGATCCTTTTTCTCCATAGATGGCGCTGTCATGAAGTCTTAACACGAAGGCTTATTTGTTCTCCAGATCACTTACGATATGTGGTTTAGAAGCGAAGTTAGGTGTTACACTTCATTAAGTTAAATACACACTGCAGTCGATAACTCTCACATTCCCCTAAGCCATTTAGTGTGTGTTTCACAGAAAGAGATTTGAGAAAGTAA